GCAAATCACTATGAAGAAATGCATTTTTCACATCCAATTGACTATGAGAAATGCATTTTTCAACCATCCAATTGAATGAAAGCTGCGCTAAATTGCTTGATGGATGCTATAGCCAGATAGTGCGAATAGAAGTCATTTTTGCCACAGGACAAAAGTTTCATCATAGTCAAAGTCCTCATATTCTTGTTTATATCCTTGAGCCACTAATAATCGGGCTTTGTATCGATCAAGAGTGCCGTCCAACTTCACTTTAATAGTATAGACCCATTCACTACCAATCACAGACATATCAGATGATTGAGGAACTAGATCCCAAGTATGATTCTCCTCAAGGGACCTAAGTTCTTCTTCCATTGCTTTTCTCCAACATTCTTGTGTAATAGCCTGGTTATAAGTAGAAGGAATCTGAATGGAATTTAAATTGGTGAAGAAAGAGTAGAATGGTGTATACCTTGTGGATACAATCTTCCGAAATTGACACGATTGGATCAGCACAAAGATGGAGGAGGTGTTGTGGGATCAACAATGGAAGAGTTTGAGGCTAGACCTTCAAGAACATGATCATTTGACGGCAAAGTGGACGTTGTCTCATCAACATTAAGGGTAAGATTATTAGAAGAATCAACAAAATCATGTAAAAAGGAAACGGAAGAATGAGTAACATTTGGATGAGGAGAGAAAGAATAAAAATATACATTTTCAAAGAAAGTAACATGACGAGACACACGTATGCGATGACTCAGTGGATCATAACAAATCATGACGAGACACACGTATGCGATGACTCAGTGGATCATAACAAATATAGCTCTTTTGTTTATTACTATAACCAATAAACACACATTTAGCAGATAACTTATTTCTTTCATGAGGAGGAAGCAAAATAAAATAAATACAACCAAAAACACGAAGATGGGTATAATTAGGTAATTTATTGTAAAGAGCATAATATGGAGATTGATTACCAATTATAGGAGAAGGTTGCCGATTTATGAGATAGACAGCTGTATGTATAGCTTCAACCCAAAATTTAGGTGGAATAGATGATTCAAGTAAAAGTGTTCTAGCAATATCCAAAACATGGCGATTCTTTCGTTCCACAACACCATTTTGCTCTAGTGTTCCAGGACAAGAATATTGAGTTAAAATGCCTTTCTCTTGAAAAAAATTTATAAGATTCGAAGCATAGAATTCTACACCAGAATCTGAACGAAATATTTTGATTATTTTGCCAAATTGTGTCTCAATCATAGTAACAAAAGTTTTGGCTATATTTGCTAGATCAGATTTAGAACGTAAAAAATACACCCAAGTAAATCGAGTAAAGTGATCAATGAACAAAATAAAATATTTATAACCAAGTCTGGATAGAACCGGGGAAGGACCCCATAGATCACAGTGTATTAGATGAAAGGGTACATCAACTTTTGTAGTACTAGAAAGAAACGGTAATTTAGCAAATTTCCAAGGGCACAACTTTGACAATTCTAAGAAATATCAGACTTAACACGCAATTTTTCTGGAAGAAAATTGGATTTGAACATAAATTCTAATCGGGTAGTATGCAGATGACCAAGGCAACGATGCCATAGATCCCAAGTGTTATTGGCAGATGCAGACGACAAGGCTGAAAGACATAGAGGATAATTTTGTGTTCCATCTAAAACAAGATGAAATAAACGTCCACGTTTATGCCCCTTCACGATCACTTATCCCATTTGAAGGTCCTGCACATCACAACCAACAAGGGAGAATTTTACCATACAATTTTGGTCAGTTAATTGTCCAATAGAAATGAGGTTGGCTATTAAACGTGGGACATAAAGAGTACTAGGTAAACAAATGGATTTCTTAGACTCAGTAGACAAACAAACAGTGCCAATTCCTTTTATGGGTAATTTTCGTCCATTGGCTGTGGTAATTGAATCATTCAAAGAACAAGGCTTGAGTTTAGAAAAAATATGTTTTTGACCAGACATATGATTAAAGGCACCAGAGTCAAAGAACCAAGACACAGATTTAATTCCTTTACCTGATAACCCAGCCTTTAACCTGATAACCCAGTAAGCAGAGAAGGCAGAAGAAAGAAGCAACAGAGAAGGCAGAAGAAAGAGCACCTGGAAGAGCTACTTGCACTAAATCTTGAATCATCTTTTGAATTGTGTCTGATGAAAATAGAGTTTCTTTAGTGTTGGCGTTTTCTCCATCATTACTCATTGTAATAAATGCTGAATGACCATGCTTATTTTTCAATATGCGACAATCCAAGATAATGTGTCCTGGCTTTTTGCAATAGTTGCATATATTGTGCTGACGACAATGAGACTGCACATGTCCCAGTTTACCACAATATCGACATTGAGTACCTGCTTTCCCTGTAGTCTTTTGTTTTGAGTAATACTTACCACGTGAAGCCATAAAGACTGCATCTATTGAGTTGGTTTTGGTGTCGAGCTGAAGCTGAATCTGAGTATTTAGCCTTGTTTCTTCACGAACAAGGTCTCCAAGAGCAGACTCCATACTCAAATTTCCTCGATTAATTAGCGTAGCCCTGACATTCTCAAATTTTGGTCGAAGTTTCATGAGGAATTGCATCACTCGTGCACGATCACGTTTCGCCTTAATTTCTAAATATGCAGTATCAGAAATAACACAAGAAGATATCATATCTTGTTCTGTGCATAACTTTAAAATTTCAATATAAATGCCACGAATATCTCTATCCTCTTGGTTGATGTTAGCAATTTCATATTCAAGTTGAAATTGCCTTGATTGATCCACTTGAGAATAAATGCCCTGAAGATGTTTCCACATTGTTGCTGTAGTTCTGAATGAGCGGAGGCTGAGTGCAATTTCAGGTTCCACAGATTTCAGGTTTCCCACAGAATTTTAGAATCCAAGTGATAACCATGAGCATTTTTTTGTTTTCCATTGTAGCATGGCTTTCCTGTGGTACATCTTCCGTTTGAGATCCATCAAGAATACCAGCAATATCCTTTACCTTCAAACAAAGATTTCGAAAATTGAAGAAATTCCAAAGAGCAAAGTTGGTCCCATTGAATTTAATTAGAAATGGAATTCAGAACTTAACTTCCCTCCATTTTATTGAATACGGTGTGGAAAATAAAAAAAAAAATCGGACAATCAAAGAAACAAGCTTTCAATAAAAAAAAAATTCTCCAAAAGAATTTACGCAAAGATGAGAGGAAAAATTATAAGGCTCTGATACCATTGAATAATTTAAATAACATGTTTTTTTCTTGGATATTTAGCTGAAGTTACAACAATTGGTAATCTTCGTTATAAGAATCTTGTTAAACTAATCGGTTGGTGCTGCGAAAGGCGCGAATATCTTCTTGTTTACGAGTACTTACCAAATGGTAGTTTAGAGAAGTACATATTTGATGAGTCGCCATCAGATGTACTAGGATGGAAAACAAGATTGTCTGTAATAACAGGGACAGCCCAAGCATTAGACTACTTGCATAATGGCTTTGAAGAGAAAATACTCCATCGCGACATCAAATCCAGCAACATAATGTTAGATTCAGAATTCAATCCGAAACTAGGGGATTTCGGACTTGCTCGAACAATTAAACTCAGTGATCAAACTCATCACTCTACGAAAGATGTAGCCGGAACGACTGGCTATGTGGCTCCGGAGAGTATACTCACCAGTATCCGGAGAGTATACTCACCAGTAGGTTTACGGTGGAAACAGATGCTTATGCCTTTGGTGTAGTTATATTGGAAGTTGCATGTGGAAGAAAGCCAGGAAGTCCAAACCATCAAGACGATTATAGTGGTCATATAGTGAATTGGGTATGGGACTTGCACAGAGAAGGAAGAATAATTGATGCTGCAGATAAAAGATTGCATGGAGATTTTGGAGAGGAAGAAATGGTCCAAATGGAGTGTCTTCTTATTCTGGGTTTGGCTTGTTGTCATCCAAATCCAAAGAAGAGGCCTAATATGAAAACTGTTCTGCAGGTTTTGAAAGGGGAAGCTACACCTCCTTCAGTGCCTAATGAAAGGCCTGTGTTTATGTGGCCTCCATTGCCTCCCCCGAAAGAATTGGGTATCTCTCTTAGCGAGCTTTCATTTTCAGACCTTAGTGGAAGATGATAAAGTGAAGTGACTTCTTAGGCTACATTTGTTTCGGTAATAGGAAAATATTCCAAAATTTTCTGTTGTTTGGGGTGTTTAAGAAAATAAATCAATGGAAAATATTTTTTTAGTCAAAGGAAAATGAAGTCTTTTTTTAAAGAAAATAATTTTTCATTTTCGAGAGAGTAAAATATTTTCCGGACATTATCAAATCTTATAAATCTATATTTATTAATTTATTAACCATTGTAGTCACTATGATCAGTCACCATTTACCACTGATCACCATCACCTGCCACCGGCGGCTTTTATAATTTACTTTTTTTTTTTTTGCATTCTTTTTATATTTAACATTTTTTTTTGCATTCTTTTTTATATTTACATAAAAATTTTAATTTATAAAATTTCTATTTATTACTTAATATTTTTTATTATTATTATTAATATTTTTTATGATTTTATTTAATATTTTTAACTACTTTTCAATATTATAACTAAATAACGGAAAATAAATCATTTAGAAAATATTTTTTAAGGAAAATGTTTTCCATAAAAATATTTTTCAACAAATACAAGTTATTTTACAGAAACAAAAGAAAGATTATATTATTATTATCATTGTCATATGTGTTGTAAACATCATTGTAGCAACTTGGTTGAGTTTCTTGGTTGAGTTTCTGTTTTATAATTGTTTTTTGGAGAATCAAATTTAGATTTTCCGGTCACCGGGTGTTAATCATATCAACGTTGGACAAACAGCGGAAAAAGAAAAGGGTAAGTGATTTTGTTGTTACTTAAATTAATTTCTGTTGTGTTTTACACAATAAATTGAACAATAAATTGAAATACAAAATCGGTGATATAACGTGCATTAGTGATAAATTCAGGAATGATAAGCAAAATTATGCTGCAAATAATATTAATTACAAATAATAGTTAACCAGAAATTCATAATTGTACATTGGAAATGTAGATTCAAAATTCCCTCTATTGATAATTGACCTGTTTCGAATATCAGTAACTAAAATACAAATAATGAACTCAAATCTCAAGCTGTTGTTCCCAACCAATACAAAAACAGGGAAAAAGGGGCTTAATCATAATCAGTCTGCACCGTAAGATCCCGTACACCTAAATCATGGTACAAACCATGCACAAATTGCAGTGTTGGTCGATCATCCATCCCTTTCTTCACCTGTAAGTGCCACCCACCAAAAAACGTTGTAAATTACAGTCGCTTGCATAGTAAATTAAAGGCAAAACTATTTTGTATACTCACACAGAACGCACAAACATAGCAAGTCCAAGAAAAACAGGTGACGTGCAAATGCAGATGGTAGAATGAGCCAAATCTTTTGTAAGATACCTGAAGTGAAAGTGTGCCAACAACATGACCAGGCACCAATTCGCAAAACCGAGCCTGAGAAACTTCAGTAACATCTTCTCGAGCAGTAACCTAACCAAAGAATTTTTCAGGGGAAAAAACAGTCAAATGATTAAATTGCAAAATACAAAATGAAGGGCCTTGTTATGAACTTCAGTAACATCTTCTCGAGCAGTAACTTGTTATGAACTTCAGTAACATCTTCTCGAGCAGTAACCTAACCAAAGAATTTTTCAGGGGAAAAAAAATGAAGGGCCTTTTTATGAACCCACTATTTGGAATTATAAGAAAACTCCCCCGAACGCAACCACAAAGATTTTAACTTTTAAGATTACTGCATTTTGGCAAGGGGACAGATGGTGCAACAAAATAGAGGATAGAAAAGAATCATTTGTTATCATATGTGAATTTGTAAGAATATTTTTCTAATTAGGACCATAACACGGCAGAACTAGAAATGGTGAAGTGGCAAATTTCGGGAGAAAAACTGAAATGAAGATACAGATTCAGTTGAAGGAAAGAACCTCAACAAGAAACAAGTAGGTAGACCAGTTTGGATTCCCAATTTGCCTTGAATTGTAAATGTAAATAAAGAATTTAAATTCTGTTCATTTAAATGAGGATAGGATCAATTGCAGATGCAGCACAAATCAATTAAAATCCTGTTCATTTAAAATGAGGATCAATTGCAGATGCACACAATCACAAGTAAAGTTACTAACAAATCCTTCCCTGGGACCCTCCCGTCCTTAAAGGCAGTTGCTCAGTGCTGAAGTAAGCCGAATGCTAGGTGGTGGCCATTTGGACAAGATCAACCGGCAGATTGCAGTACTTTTAAAGAGAGGCATGACAAGCATAAAAACTGCAACTGAAACTAGCCCCAAACATAGAACTTCAGCATTTTCAACCCTACAATTAAGGGAATAATTTACAAACAAAAGAAGAATCAGCTGAGGAAAGGAGGAGGATAAGAAAGACTCTAGGGGCAAGTTTGCAGAACTACAGCTGAAGATGAAAGATGAAGCAACATACCCAAGGGACTAAAACCAAGAAGCCAATATGACTCATCGATCAGGGCGAACCCTATATAAAAAGCCATTCATACTCTGGAGTAACGGGTTTAATGCATCTTTCAATACCACCTTTGTACTTAATATTCAAAGCCAAACAAATCCAGGAGGAGAGGGCTTAGCTTTTATATTAACAGCTAATTCTGTTGTTAATGATATCAGCGATGACGGTCAGTGGCTTGATATCATTAAAAATGAAATGAACGGTTCCTCTTCAGCCCAAACAGTTGCTATAGAGTTTGATACAAGAAAAAGCTACCCAGAAGATCTTGATGATAATCATGTTGGCTTAGATATTAATAGTATCAATTCTCGCGTTCAGTTCCCCTTAACTAAAGTTGGTCTTAATCTTACCAGCGGTAAAGATATCAATGTTCGTGTTGAATATAATGGTCAACTTAAGGAGTTGACTGTTTTCGTCGGGAACGTGAACAATCCAGTATTATCTCAGAATCTTGATCTCTCATTCTATCTTCCTGAGAAGATTTTCATGGGATTTTCGGGCTCAACGAGTAATTATACTCAGTTAAACTGCGTAAAGTCATGGGCGTTTAATGGCACTGAAAAAAGAAAGGAACGCGAGCCTTTTTGGGTTTGGATTTTGGTTCCACTCCTTGGAGTGTTGTTATTGTTTGGGATTGGATATTTCATTTACTGGAAAAGAAAATCAGAAAGAGAAAAATTGGCAGATGCAGATGCTTATCCTATAAGCATAGAAGAAGCAATACAAGGCTCTTCCACAGCTCCAAGAAAGCTCAAAATGAAAGAATTAATCAAAGCAACAAACGGCTTCAGTTCCAAGAACAAGCTTGGAAAAGGCGGATTTGGGACAGTGTATAAGGGAATGAGCAAAGATAAAGAAATTGCAGTCAAGAAAGTTTCCATGAAATCAACACAAGGAAAAACAGAATTCATAGCTGAAGTCACCACAATTGGTAATCTACATCATAAAAATCTCGTTAAACTAATCGGTTGGTGCTACGAGAGGCGTGAATATCTTCTCGTCTATGAGTACTTGCCGAATGGTAGTTTAGAGAAGTACATATTTGATGAATCGGCATCAGATGTACTAGGATGGAAAACAAGGTTGTCTGTAATAACAGGGACAGCCCAGGCATTAGACTACTTGCATAATGGCTGTGAAGAGAAAATACTCCATCGCGACATCAAATCCAGCAACATAATGTTAGATTCAGAATTCAATCCGAAGCTAGGGGATTTTGGACTTGCTCGAACAATTAAACTCAGTGATCAAACTCATCATTTGGAACCCTGCTCGAAACAATATAAACCTCAGTCGCGATCAAACCATCACACTACAAAAAGCAGTAGCCTGGAACGCGCCTGGCTTATATGCTCCAGAGGAGAGTATAACTCACCAGTGGGTTTACAGTGGAAACAGATGTTTAATGCCTTCGTGTAGTCTTATATTGGAACGTTGCATGTGGAAAAGAAAAGCCAGAAGTAAATCCGAGACCCATCAAGACGATTATATTGGTCACATAGTAAATTGGGTATGGGACTTGCATAGAAAAGGAAGGATAATTGATGCTGCAGATAAAAGACTGCAGGGAGATTTTGAGGATGGAGAAATGGAGATTTTTCTTACTCTGGGTTTAGCTTGTTGTCATCCAAATCCAAACAAGAGGCCTAATATGAAAATTGTTTTGCAGGTTTTGAAAGGTGAAGCGCTACCTCCTCCTGTGCCTAATGAAAGGCCTGTTTTTATGTGGCCTCCATTGCCTCGTCCTTTTAAAGAATTGGATATCTCTCTTGGCCAATTCACTCCATTTTCAGACCTTCATGGAAGATGATTAAGTGACTGTTCTTTTATTATTGTTATTATTATCAGGAGAATATTATAGGACGCTTTGTCAGGATATAATATAGAAATAATGTCCTTATTTTTCTCTTTTATTATTATCATTTTTTTTACTTCAATTGTGATTTCAGCATACTGTAATACTTATTGTCTGGGGGGTTTCCCTCTATATATATAAATACCGTAATTTAAATTTTCTTGAATTTTTTTCTATAATTAGTTCGGAGAACTGAGAAAATCTTGATATTTCTTATTTTATTTTAAGAGGAAAAGAAAACATTTTACGACTGCCACTGAAGATTGAATATCAGCAGTTATAAGATATACATTAATCAATTCTAAATGTTATTAATTCATTCTTATTATCTTTTTGTGGGTAATATAGCTTTTTTTTTTTTTTTTTTTCAAAGAATTTTTTTTTTTTTTTCAAAAGAATTTTTTTTTTTTTTTTTTTTTTTTCAAAGAATGGAGTATAGCTTTTCATCTAAATACCAAGAATCAACAAATTAACCTAATCTTTTTCAGTAAACAAATTAAAAAAAAGGAAAACTATAAATATTTGTCAAATATAGCTTGTATATGCATGGTTGAAAATCCAATTAATTGGAGATAATTAAAGTTGTAATATGAAGATAATCCAAATCAATTAGGCCCATTACATATATTTTTTAACTCCAATTCGTAATTGTTTGTAGTTTTACGGACAACATACAGATAATTCTTAGAAATTATCTGATTTCTGAACATGAGAAATGAGGTAATTGTCCACATGCTTCTTCAAACTAATTTATTAACGGCCATTTCCATATAAATTGACTTTATAATATGTATTAATTATATATTACTGCGTCAAATGAAGTTGAGAAACCCCAACTAATATTCTTCTGGTTTGCTGCACTTTTCCACAACAGTTTTTAGATTCTACGGACACCGAATGAAACCCGAACGCCAACCGGAAAACTGAAATTAGACTTGACTATAGAAATTCAGGGTATTTTTATTCCAACTTGACCAATTTTTTTCTCATCATGCTCGAATTCAATTTGATAGAGAAGCTAAAATACTTGAATTCAATTCTATATTCTATTGATCAATTTTATTAATATTAAAGTTCAACCCAAATTTATTTATTTTTTTTTTTTTTTTTAAAGAGTAAAACTCATAGCCTTTCATTCATTATCATAAATCTCGGACAAACAATAAGAAATATAATTCCAGATACGTAGATGCGCAAAGCGAATAAAAGCTCGAGTTAGGGTATGAGCCTTTAAGTTCGCTTGCCTACGAATCCATCTACACGAAACCAAAGGGAGTTCTAAAAATAAGTTCTTACAATCATAAATAATATTCCGCACATACGATCTGAATAAAATAGAGGAGCACAAAGCATAAAATAAAACCTGCTAGTCTATGAAAATAGTACCTCCACGCTCAACATAATTTTGCTTGAGAAATAATAAAAAACTACGAAGAGCTAAAGCCTCCGCAATAAAAGGGTCCGTACCACCTGTAAAGTGGCCTGAAACTGCTCGAATAAAAGCCTTCCTCTGTCTCCATCACCGCTCCAAAGCCTTGCATGCCTTCTTGCTCAAAAATAGAACCATCCACAAAAGCTTGCCATGATTGGTCTCCACTGTTGCGAAGACGTCCGGGTGGAAATATTGCAAGTCTCTGCCGACTTGTATTTGAGGATGCACTAGCCATGCTCCTTTTCGCCAACTTTGTATGTTCCCAACTAATCATTTATTCTTTTGCCTTCAAGAATGTAGTGTAGCACGTGTCTCTTATAGTGTTCCAAAGAGCATTATTTCTTGCCATCCAAATATATCTAGCATACACCAAAAACTTTTGGGTTTTACGTTTTATCACCATTAGCAAGTACCTGCAAAAAGAAGTTAGTAAAAGAAATATTTATATCACCTACTTCATACCCCCCTTGCCTCCAAACTCCCTTAGCCTTACTACATAACTCTATTGCATGATTAATATCCTCTTCCTCCCCACACCAAGAACACCCAATATCAATCTCCACCCCTATCCTTCTCAATCTCTCCTTCTTAGGCAACACATCCCTTAGAGCCCTCCACATAAAATTTTTGTCTTTAGGGGAAGCATCTAAACCCCACAACTTGCCCTACCATCCACCTTCTACCTCATGCATCCTCCCCCTCAACAACCTC